GTCATCAAGGTGGTGGACGGCAAGTTAAAACAAGAACACCATCACACAATAAAAGCAAGATTACAAACATGAGCCCCACCCCCTCCACACTCGAGTAATCACCCCACCACATCACTTGAAAGGCTTGGTTAAAAAAAAAAAAGCGCCTTTATACCCAGCCCAGAAAAGTGGGAGGAATTCCTGGTTTTTGAGGGAGTGCATTCCACAGGCTGGGGAAAACACAGGGAAAAGCCGTTTTCTCCCCAAACCGGGCTTTGTAGAATGAGCCTCTTCTGCAGGTCTTAATGCCCAAGACAGGTTCATTACAAGGCAGGCCGTTCGTTGCCTAGCCGGGTCCTAAGCCGCTTAGGGCTTTAAAGGTTAAAACGAAAGCCTTGGATTGTACCTCAACTGCAACGGGAAACAGCGCAGGTCTTTCCTGAAAGGTGTAATAAGGTTCTAATACTTTTATAGTCCTAATACCCTGCGCTGGTTAGCAGCCAAACTGATGCATTTTGCACCCATTACAGGTTTTCGTAGCCTTTGCCAGTAGCTGCGGGGGGGGGGGAGGAGAGGAAGTGATGCACGAGGAACGAATTTCTGCTCTGTTTGCACTGGGCGACGGCGATCTGCCATCGAAATCCATGCATTTTGCAGGACGTGGCGTGAACCGTGGACCTTCCCCGCAGAGACGGCTCAACGGCATGTTTCCAAAAGGGGGATGAAACAATTAGCATTTAAAACTGTGCACACAGGCGCTTTAAGCAACAAGAGAAGAACGCACCCTTTGGAGGAGGACTCCACGGATGCATCTATTGGGAAGAACGATTCTTGCTCTCTCATGGGGCCCGGAGTCAGGATGGGCTTTGAGGTGGCACTGGGAGAAGTTGAGGTTTGTGGGGGGGGGGAGAAGGGGCTCGGCCCCTCGTCTGTGCACTCTGAGGCCCCCCCGGCCCTTGCAGTCCGATCTGTGGCCTCATCGACATGTGGAAGATGCCTGAACGTGCCCTGAGCGGAGCGTGCCCTTTCTCTGCAGCAGCCAAGGAGAAGCGGACGAGGCTTCCCTGAACGGCCAAGCTGAGGGAACGGAAGGACTGGGGAGGGCCTGCAGCCTGACAGCCCGGGGAGCAAACCCGCCCCCCCACCGCCCTGCCTGGCCTCTACACAGCATCTTCCTAGCCTGCCAGTGCTGACACACGGCGGATCCTGCCAGATAAAGGAGGAGAAATTCGGGTTTGCACAAAGTTTCCTTTTTTTCTTTTTTCTTTTTGCCCATTCCATTCCTGATAAGTGCAGTGCCTGCTTGGAGACTGATAGAAGGCCTATCGCGGCGGTTAGCACAGAAAGGAAAAGCCTATCGGAGCAACATCGCCGGACTCACATCAACTTCCAGCCACACAGAAATTAATATCACTCCAATTACCAGAGAGGAGATGGGCTGCACAGTGGCGATAATAAAATCCCTTTTGCATAAGGAGGCAAATAACCAACGCCAGCAAGGAAGTGTGTCGGGGGGAGGGCGCTCAAGGGGGGGGCGGAATGTGTCCCCCACCCTTCGCTCTGGGGGCGCACGCGCTGGCGCCAGGGCTCAGCCCCGGGGCCGGTCTGCAAGCCCGCGAGCCCCTCGCGCCGTTCCAGGAAGCTTCGGGTGGGAACGTGCCCGAGGTGTGCTCAAAACGCCGGCTTCTCGGGGTGCCCCCAACATGGAAAACACCAACGCCCACAGACCTGGGGAAGCCTTCGGGGGACTTGGCTTGCAGAAGCCAAGAAGGCGCCTCCGTGGCTCTCAGCATGCCGGCTGGGGACGATAGGACTTCCAAGAGGGCAAGGGGGGCACTGGAGGGCCCTCGTGCCAGTCTTAAGGGCTGCAGGGGCTCTCCGAAGCGGTCCACCAGCCTGCGGAGCCCAGCTGCGAGCATCTCCGCGCAAGACATGGGATGCGCAACGCGGCCTCGGCCAGCTTTCCCGCACCTGCCTCCCCGCCATGCTCTGGACTACAATGCCTGGCATTGCTGCCTGCCGGCCATGCTGGCTGGGGCTGATGGGAGTCAAAATCCCACCAGCTGGGAGGCCTGTGGCATGTGCACTGACCCTCCTGACCCTCCGGCTCAGAGCAAAGTGGGCGTGCGGGTGTGAGAGCGTCTGCGGACGGAGGCAGCTGGAAAGGCCCCGCAAGGCCAGCAGGGGGTCTCCCGGCTGTGCTGCCCCCTGCGGGATCTGCCCCGGGGACCCTCCCCCTGATGCTTCTCCTACTGAGCCCTCGGGCCGGGGCTCTGGGGAAGGGATGCTAGAGGGCCGGGGGAGCGTGGCTGATGCCCCCGCCACAGGACTGCCGGGGCACCGCCTGCACAGAGGAGGGCGGCCAGAGGGCCAGGGGGTGAGACCCCAAGAAAAGCAACTCCCCCAGAAGCCTGGAATTGAGGATGCCGCCCCCACCGGGGCCGGTCTCCCTGCTCATCAGACCCACCCACGTCACCAGCGGCATCGCAGGGAGAATTCAGCAAGCCCCCTTCAGCCCAGCACAGCCTGTTCTGGGGGGCCTGGCTGTCCCCACCCTCTGCCCCACGCCAAGGCGGCTGGGGTGCGGGCAGAGGGGCCCTGTGGCACACGGCCAGGCCCCGGAGCAGCAGGCCAGCCGCGCATCCGTCCATCAAGGGCAAAGGCCGGGGTGGGAACGAGCAGATAACGGAGGAGGAGGCAGGGGAGGCAGGGAAGTGCTGCAGACCTATTTCCGGCCAACACATCCAGGAAAGGCTCGGGATATCAGGCGGCTGTATGCACACATTTCCCTTCCTGGACAACGAGGACGTGGAGGCGGCACTGCCCGCGGCGGCCAGGGGCGCCCTGAATTTCTCAGTACTGGAGGCTCTCGGGGGGGGGCACATGCACTCCCATCAACCCCCTGGACAGACCTCCTGGTGGCACGGGGTGGGTGCCTAGCTGGAGAGGGGCCCGGGGGCTCGAAGTTGACCCCGGGATGCCACGTCCCATTTTCCACTCCAGCAGGTAGGTGTTCTCCAGGAGCCTGGCAGCCTGGAGCTACCCAAAGCCCTTTCCAACGGGAGACGCTCGGAGTTTTGTCACAGGGCCACAGCCTCGACGGAGAGCTGCCGCGACCTCACTCCCGAAAGCACGCTTTGCACCGAGCTGCACGATCTCCGGAGTGACTGCCGCCTGCTCCTCTTCGCTTTGCCCGCCTGCTTCCCCCACAGCCAAGGGTAACGTGCGCCCTTTCCCCGCAAGCAGATCTCTCGACGGCGGACGCCCCCCGAGTGGCTGGCTGGCTGCCTCAAAGCTTCCTGCCACAAGGCGGAGGGGAAATGCCAGAAAAATCTGGGGCCGGGGCTGTTTTCCCCTTCTGCCCCTTACATACCTGATGCAACCAATCCTCCAAGAATCCCATTACACAATCCACACACCAGTGGGGCACTTCCGGACAGAAGTGGGAAGACGCGGTGTGTGTGTATGTGTGTGTGTGTGAGGAAGAGGGCAACAGATGTTTCTCAGTGTTCCTGGCTGTTCTCGCTTTGCGCCTCTCTGTCGCTGCCCAACGGCTTTGGAGACGACCTTGTGGTTGCCGCTACATCACCGGTTTCTTGGCAATGGCGAAGCTCACGGCCTGACCCAGTTCTGCAGTGGCCTTTGCCTAGCCGAGCTCGCCTCGGGCTGAAACGCGTTCCAGCATTCAGCCAAGGCCACCCAGAGGCGAAAGTGATTGGACGGGCTAGAAATGTCCCAAACAGACAAATAAATAAGGCAGCCCTGGAGAGATTGTCCGAAACCGAGCCTGGCCCTGGGGCTGCCTCGGCAAGAACGTTCTCATCGAGGCTTCAGACCAGAATACCCGCAGCATCTCCTGGAAACGTCCCGGGGCAAACCTGAGCCCCACGCTTGCGGAGTGGGGCCCCTGCCTTCTCGCTCGAACACACTTCCATCGCGCCTTCCCAGGTCGCATCACAAACCCGCGAGCTGCCCTTTGCCACCCTCTCACCCCCACCCCCCGGCAAGCAGATGGAGAGCAGCAAACCCAGTTCGTAGCCTTCAAGGCCAGTAAAGCTTGCGGGGGAAAGTCCAGTGAAAAAGGGCCCCATGTGCCGCCTGGCTCACCCGGAGCTTCAGCCACAATTCCCAAGATTCGCCGCTCTTGCATTTCGCTGGGTCTGGAAGCCCCGTGAGCCCCGCTGTGCTGCTGCGGCAGGAAACAGCCCACATTCTCACATTTGACATGGGAAGGAAATGCTGAAGAAGACTTTCTTCCCAAGAATGGGCAACTCTTGTTTCAAGCTACTAACGAAAACGTCACCCTGTACTGAAAGACGGTTTCTGTCTGGATCTCCCAAAAAAGTATTCATTGATTTAAACGAAAAAATGAGAGAGGTGGGGGGGGGGGGGGGGGGGGGGGGGGGGGGGGGGGGGGGCATTTTATTTGATTATTATTTGATTAACAGAAAGAATGCAAAAAGAAACAAGTTCTCCAGTATGCCAACAATGACGAATTTGTTGCAACCCAGCACACGTCAGAGCAGCAGAAGCCTTCTTGGGACAACCTTTCACATGCCAAGTCCAAGACAGGCTAAATCATTGTTCCCCAACCTTGTGCCCTCCAGATGCATTGGGCAAAAATGCCCTGCCTCCTGCAGCCAGCTCCACAGCCCAGGCGATGCACCCAGAGTGCACCAGACGGGGGAAGCTCACACTGCCTTGCAGAAATGGGGACCGTCTCCCCAGCACTCCAGGAAAGGTTTAAGGACGTGCTGGCCACCCCGAGGACCAGCATCTCCTCCTGCCTCCTCGCCGGCTTGGTGTCTCCGCTCTTTGGCCTTTACCACCTGCCACAGCCTTCCTTGGAAAGCCTCACACAACCAGGGTTACACCTTTGAGACCCGAGCTGGACAGAGTCATGCCAAGTCTGGAGAGCACCCAGACTTGGATGCCGCTCAGACACGGGAGCGGGGGGCATATAAAAGCTTTAAATAACATGAATCAACGGCCCAGGAGAGTCCGCAAGAGAAGAAAGGTACCTGGACCGTTCCATGCTTTGAGCTCCTGCGGCTTCTCGGGCTCCTCCGGGCTGTCCAGGTTCTCCGTGGGCTCGACCTCTGAAACGGAAGGAGCAAAACATCATGAAAACACTCTCCAACCTGCAGAGAAGGCGGCGTTACTCCGGGTCCGGCCAGAGCGTACGCCGCACCCGATCACCTGGCCCCTTACATGCCGCCGCCGAAATCCACCAAGGAGGGACAGGATGGCACAAGGCGGCATCCGCTCCAGGTTGGGACACGGTGCAGGCCAGCCTTGCTCCGGGGGCCCGGCCCTTGTCGCCAGCCTCACCGGTCGCTCCAGCTCGCCTTCTTGCTGGCCAGGGTTGGCCTGGCCGTGTGCCATGGGACCCCCTCGGCCCACACCCCCCAACCGCCCTGGAGTGGGGCAGAGGGCTGGAACGGCCAAGCCCTTCTGCCCAGCGAATGAGCCGTGTTTACTTGCTGGATCCTCCCGATGCCACTCGGGCCCCCCTGTGCCCCTGGCTCCGGGGTCCCTGCCCATCTGCTCCCTCCCGCTGGGCCGGAGAGCACGAGGCGGCTGACCGAGGGGGGTGCCACTGAACGGGCGGGCGGGCCCAGGGGGCTCCTGGGGCTGTTCCTCCCCCTCTGAAAAGGCCCACATGCCTCCTTTCAGGCTTCGTGACCGGCAGCTTTAAACTGCAAGATGACGACTCAGGGGCCAGATGTGGCTCGCCGCTTTTGCCCGCTGCCTGGCTCGTTGCTGGGATACAACCCACAAGGGCTGAATTTGCTCCTGGAGGTGAAAGCACCCCTCCAGCCCACTTTATTCCGTTTAAAGCTCAACGGAGACGTTTCCATTCTGCACCGAGCAAAACTGTGTTCTCAGTGCCCAAGCAGCAACTCAGATGCAAACTGCCCCATCACGCCAGCCCAAAGCGCCGACCAAGGCCCAAAATGAAACTGCAGAACCGCTCCGAGGCGCCCGAGACACGGCACAGAGCGCCTTCCGCACCTTCCTCCTGAGCCTCTCTGTGCTTCCTGGTTTGGCCGGGCCCTCCCGCCGATCCTCAAGCTTCCTGGAAAGGAGGGATCGGACCGTCAAAGCAACCAGCATGCCTTCCACCCCCTCAGCTTTCCATGGCATTCAGCAACATTTAAAAACCACCACCACCAGGCTAAGGGAAAGTTACTGAATAGCAGAAAAAATCAATAACAAGTCAGCAAAACATGTTACCAGAGTCACCCAATAGTTCGAAAAGTTACCTCTAGTGCAGCTTAAGCTCAAGATACTGGAAGGATCGATAGCAATGCACTAAAAAGATTTTTTTTTTAAGTATAGTTCTTGATATATTAAAAATGTGCCCTTATAAGAAAGGGGAAGCTTTGAGAGGGCCCCTCGGGCTACCGTAGGACAGGGTCCCAGAACCACGGCGCCACCCCCAGGCCCAACCCAGCAGGATCCGGCGCTGGGGGAGACCCCAAGAGGAGTCTCAGGACACCCCCAGGACGCGTTCCTCCAGGCCAGGGGCTGAATTTACGGGCACCCCGACTAGACACGCGTGCGAAGTGAGCCAGGGCTCGGGAAGGAGGCCGGGGCGGCGCGCCTCCCGTTCCCGAGGGGCCCCTCCGAGCCGGCTGGCAGAAAGAGGAACCAGCTTCCTGGGACAGCCCTCTCTCCCACAGGCCTACCCGTGGCAACCTGGCGGCAATCATCCCCCCATTAACTGCCTTTTCAGATGCCCCAGATAAGCGTCTCTGCACGAGGCAGCGCAAAAGACCAGTGGACAGAGGGCATGTTTGCCTTTCAGTCCCGGCCTGATAACCGTTGCAAGGAAGGAGAGAAGGGGAACAGCGAGCCGTCCGGATCGATCGATGGGCGCCACAAAGGGCGCTCGGGCGGGCGCGGCGGGCGACGTCACCGGCCATCGGCGATTATTAATACAGGTGATAACGGGGGAGGGGATGATTAACATCAAATAAATCAATCGCGGGTATAAAAGTCCCATTATTTTTGGCTATAAATCAAAGTGCCTGGCACATCGATTGTTATCCATCGCGCAGAGAGCTCTGTGCGCTTTGCCACGGGAGCAGCGGTTATTGCAGGCTGCGCGTTATCGCGCGCTATCGCCTCGCTTTATCATGGCGTGCGAGACCCAGGTGCTCTGCTCGGGCGGGGGCTTGCACGGCGAGGCCCCCGCCCCGAGGCCCCCGCAGGCAGGCTCTCCGGGGTCGGACGACGGGGCCTCTGGCTCGCCTGCCGCAGGCCCGCTGCAGGGACCCAAAGTCTGCCGCCAGAGGAGGCCCTTGGCTGGGAGGAAGTGCCTCCCCGCGCGGGTGCCATGACTCGCCCGCCCTCCCCTCCCCTCCCCTCTCTAGGAGCCCCAGGCGCTCAGGCCCTCCCCTGCTCTCCATTTCCCCCTCCCAACAGGGACCCTCCAAGGTGGGGGGGCAGAGGGTGCCAACTGGGCCAGAGCCACCCCTTGAGCTTCATGGCTGGGGGGGATTAAAACTTGCAGGCCGGGGGGGGGTCCCGGTTATACTGGGGATACAGTTCTGACTTGAGCAGAAGATGAAAAGCGACCTCAAGGGGGGCAGGGGGGCAGGAGCGGCTTTGCTGGCCCTGTCCCTGCCTCACTCCGCGCTCGACCGCCACCCCCTGCAAGGACCGTCCGGGTGGCTGGAAGGAGGCCCCTTCGTCTGGATGGGGCCATCCGTTGGCGCAGGCCGGCCGGGGTGGGCGAGCGCCTCCGGCTGCGTGTGGGGCTGCTCGGCCTGCCTAGGTCTGCGTTCACCCGGGTGTGCCTGCCCGCTTCCAAGGCACGGCAACCAGAAACACGGCCCCTCGCGGTGGACGTCTCTTCCGTGGCGAGACGGTGTGGGTGGAAGTGGAGCGAGACCCGACGGATGGCGCCCGAGAGGTCGGGGGACCACGGCCAAGGTCGCTGGTGTAAGTTCGCTTCTCCCGCAAAGTCCCCTGGCGTCCTTGGAGAGGGCCGGCTCTCCCACCCCACTCACGCACCGCCCGTCGTCTCCAAAATGGAGAGGCTGCTGGTGATGCAGGGCGGCTGCGAAGACCCCGAGATGGCTAGCACGGCACCCCGCAAGGGGCGGCCTTGACTGGGATGACAGTCGTGCTGGGCGGCTTCTGGAGAGAGCCGGGAGTTGTGCATGCAAAGATTTCAGAGAAGGGTCTTTTCCAGGCCGAACGTTGGCACTGCAATCCTTCTGGTCCCAGGAAGGCTGGTGGCAGTGCCAAAGAGCATGTGCAGAAAATGGGAACTCAGCGAACGACTGGGGGAAGGAGCATCTGGGGAAGCCCACACGCCAACACGGTGCTGGGCATCCCTGCTTTGGGAGATGTTTGGAAACAGAGCAAACGAAACTTACTCTCGCTACAAGGCGAGCCGGAGGAGTCCCCTTCCACGGAGCCGTCACGATCCGAGGAAAGCCCCTCCTTCTCCGACTGGCTGTTTTCTTCCAAATGAGCGTTGTCTCCTTCTTCCATCTCGCCGAAAATGCCTGCAAGCACAAGAGCAAGTCCAAAGATTACGCGGGGATTTCCTTCCCTCTGGAAGTATGTCTTGAAAGATCGGTAAAGATGAGGGTCCTACCAGAGCATCAATCCTGCTCTGACAGCCACCTTGGCAAGCCAAGTCAGGAGAGCGCCGCGTAAGGGCAGCGAGCGGCAGCTGACCCACTTCCGCATCAACTTTGTTTGGAAAGGCGGCCGGGGGGGGGGGGGGGAGTTCTCACTGGACGGCACAAACAGGAAATTGTCTTCGCACGGCTGAAACCAGATGTGAATCTACCCCCAGATATCGGGCAGATTCGCAGCCGACGGACAACAGGGGATGCTGACTCACAATCACCTAGCAAGCCAGGATCACCAGCACATCGCTGGCCTTGCATGGCCTCGGTGTTGCTCAGCTGTAAAATGGGCACACTGACTGCTTGCCTTTGAGCAGGCCTCTTGCAATTGTGCCGGTTCAGCCTCGTCTGGGGTTGGAATGCCTGGGATCAGTAGCAATTCAGATACAGATGTGGACGTCTATCTGTGCAGAAGGGGCGCTGAAGCTCAGGCACACGGGCCAAGTACTGCCTGCTGGGGGGAGGTCTCAATGCAACCCACAAGGTTTCCCTCCATGGCCACCCCTCGCCCTGGCCTCACCCCCTATATTCTGGCTGTGATCCTTCCTGGCTTCTGCACTTCATTCCAGGAGGCTGAAATCAGAATCTTTCAGCGGCAACAGGCTGGGCTTCCAAAATGGTTGGCCCTGCCCCTGGCCCCGCCCACCCCAGGAATGCCGCCTGCGCCCGCTTTTGTGACCACGCTATGCCCTCCGCCACCAAATGCCACGCAAACTGAGCAGAGACCAGAGACGAGATCCACACACTTCCTGCCCCTCCATTGGCCTCCGAGTCTGCAAACCGCACGGGCGACCCGGGGGCGCTTCCGGCACGTGGCCGCGAGTGTGTCCGGTGCTGCGACGGCGACGCACGTCACACGCCTGCACACACACCCGCCTGCTTGCAAGGGCACGGTGCCTCCATCCGCCCCCCAGGCCTGCCACGCGCCACGGCTTTCCACCGGGAGTGGCCACCGAGGCCAGCTTCCTTGTGGTCCCGGCTAGGTGTTGCGGCGAGGAGTTGGGCCAGCTTCTTCCGGGGCACACGGCTGGGGGGCACGTGCCTCACTCTGCGGGGGGGGGGGACTTGCGCCAGTTCACGCGGGCGCACGCGGAACGGTGTGCTCGCGCATCCCCCACACACTGGATCCTGCCCCTGCGCGAACGACGGGACGGGAGAGCCGGCCTGACACCGCAGAGCAGGCGGATGGGGGCGACGACACCGGGGGGAGGACGGGCCCTGCTCACGGTCCCCTCGCGAGGGCCCCGATCCAGCCCGGAGGAAAGGCCGGGGCTTGGCTCCGTGTGCGCCCGCACTCCGAGCCCCTGCCACTCCGGGCTCGCCCTGTCCAGGCGAAGACGGGAGGGAGGGCGAACACCGCCGAGGAGGAGGAGGAGGAGGAGGACGGCGTGGGTTAACTTTATCAGAACCCGAAAGCCGTGAAGGCGTGAAAGAAAAAATTAGCCTAACGATGTTTCATTTACAGCGAGAGAAACGATTTGTTAGCCGGCAATTGTTTCTGAATATTATCAGAGCCTTTTTAATTGTGCTGGAACTGAAATTAGTAGAATTAGAATAAATTGCCTTCCCTTCTCCGGCAGCCTCTTTATTCACGCTCATTGTTGTCTGCTTTGTATAGATTAAGGGGCTCTTTGTTCTCCCAGCGTAAATACACATGCCTGGAGTCACAGAAAGTGGCTGAGGTCTGTAGAAATGCACGGTGCAAGCAAGCTCCGCTGGCCTCCGTGGCTGCCACGGCCCCCTACCCAGCCCTCGGAGGCTGTGGATGATGTGGCCCCTAGCCAAGGCAGGAAGCGGCCCCCTGCTGCCTGTTCCCTGGGAGGATGGGGGTGGCCTCTGCAGTGGTACCCAGAACTGCGAGCACACAGCTGGAGGGTAAGCCAATGGCAAAACGTGGCTTTCATTTACATTTCCAAAAGCAAGTTTCTAGTCCCTATGGAGAAGCAGACAATACCGAAACTACGTGGGCAGCAGGTGCTCTAATTTGGGGATCCTGATGGGTTAAGCACATCTTCCAGAGATTGGGAGAAGGAGAACTTGGGTGTACATTAAACTGAATAGGTAGCGCATCCTCCACAGGGAAAAATTAGATCATCTGATTTCCTTCCCCATCTGCCCCGCTCGGCTTGGACAGGTGCACGGGAAGAGATGTTATCACAAAATCGCTGGATGCGGCCTCAGTGCTGGAGGGCCAAATGGCCCCACCTGGTGCTCAGAAGGGTGGGAATTATTCACTCCAGCCAAGGTCAGGGTCAGGCACGCCCTGACGCAGGGCAGGTCGCAGGTCGGCTCCACTTTCCCCTCTTCCACCTCAAAAAAAGAGGCCAACGCAGCACAGCACAGCACGGAGCAAGGGCTACACCCAGACCCAGATCGTCAGACCCCTGGAGGACCTTCTCCCGCCTGCGCCTGCGAGGGAAGTCGAAAGCGCCTGGGGGTTTTCGGTTTGTTTTGAAAATGACAACCAAAGGGGGGCAAAAAGCATGCAGGGCGCAGGAAAAGCGGAACGAGGCAGACCTCTCTCTCTCTCTCTCTCTCTCTCTCTCTCTCTCGTGCAGAACCCCGATGCTTGCAAAGAAGCCCCTTGCTGCAGCAGGGCTCCTTCCGCCATGGCGCTGTGGGGCTCCCCATGGAGGGAGGTGTGGGGCAGGCCCGAGCGAGGGCTCCTCCAGCCGCGGCCCAGCTCAGCCGCAGAACTGCCTTCCACACGGCCGACCGGGATGCGTGCATGCGAATCGGGACACCGTCCTGGCGCTAGGAGCCGAGGGTCACTGCCGGGCTCCGGGGCTGTGTGCCTATGCTCCCCACTCTATGCTGGGGAACATGGGCCTCAGGGTTGTGGCTTCCCAGGCTGGCCGCTGCGTGAATGGCGCACCGGACTAAATGGGCCGTTTCTGGGCCACCGGTCTGGTCTCCCCATGCTGAGCCGTGCGAATTAAATGTGCTGCTATCTTTTTTTAAGGCAGAAAAGGGAGGACTTGAGGAGGGAGAAAAGAAAGGAGACGGAGGGGGATGGAGAAGATGAGAGAGAGGGAGAGGGAGAGAAGTCAAGGCAGCAAGTTGGAGCGTCATTTTGTGGGATTGCTGGAAGCCTAGAGGAGTTTATCACCTCACGCAGACTCCCTCGGTCGGCCTGATCTGTCTATTCTTCATTAAGCAAATACGCTGAAATGGAAATGAAAACATAATAGCTATTTGATTTTCGGCGAGATATTTTGCATATTGGTTCAGTGCTGATAGTGGAATTTCATCAACTCCCTTTTTTCATGCTTTAAAACTGAATTACTGAAGGCTGCTCTACAGAGGAAGGGGATGAGCCCAGAAACACACTCACTTCCCAGAGACTCCGCTCAGACGATTAACGGGGGCCCCCTCCTCTCCCCCTCCCTCTCCCCCGGTTTTTTGATAATAAGGATGGATTTCTTTTTTAAATTGTGGCGACTGCAAGGAAGAACTTGCCCTAATCTTGCTCGATGTGACGGAGTTAACCGTGCAGATGCTTAACTCGCTTCCCACCCCCTCTATCACCCCAGGAGAACAAGCATGGGGGGGTGCGTGTGGGGAGGGGAAGGGGGGCAGAGGAACGAGTGAGGAAGACGCACCCAAACAGCTGTCCGTTGACGGCAAACACACACCCTGTGCATTTTGGTGGGGGGGGGGGGCGGTTCTGCACGAGGGGACATGTGCCACGCTCAGGAAGGACCCCGGGCTGTCCCAGTCCTTTGGCAGCTCAGAGGGGTCAGGTCGCTGTGAACTCCCCCCCACCTCCAGAATTGCGCCTGGGTACATTTTGGGGCTGCGGGGACCGATTGCCTGACCTGTATCAAGGCCCGACATCAAAAGCACGGCTCGTCCTTCTCCAGGAGGGATCGGCGGAAGATGCGGCTGCAGGGAGGTTCCATGCGGGTGAGGAGCCACGAGGTGCCCATGGAAGAAACCCCACCGTTCTGGCCACTTGTCAATCCCCCAACCCCGTCAGCTGCTCGGCTGGCACGTTCGTGGACATCTGGCTTCTTGTTGCGTTTCAACCCGTTCCACCGTGGTTAACCAGGTACGAGCCAGAGAAGAAGCCGCGCATGCTTGTTGCTGGCTTATGACGTCCAGCTTAGTTAAACCATGGCTTGCTATGATGTCTGAACCCGGAATTGCCGCTTATCCCTTGCTGGTTTGCATGGCTGTCTGCCCCGAAGTACAGGTGCCCAGAAGAACAGCCTAAGAAATGAAACCACTCTGAAAGCTGCTACAATGGGCAAGAGACAAAATGGAAATAGGGAAACCCAGTTGCTGTCAATGGATGATCCAGGGTAACGCAACAAGCCACGATTCACATCAACCGTGGCTTACCATTTCAGGCAATCGCAGTCTCCTCTGTGTGGCTGCCCTGTGGCATTCCCAGCTAACACGCACACAGAAACCCAATGACCCTCATCCACATCTTTCTGCACTAGCCCTTCTGGTGGCAAGGAGTTTCTCGAATTAACCGGGCAAGGTCCAAAGAGGAGTTAGTCCGTTCCTAAGACTCTGAGATTTCCAGTTTGCTCCCTTCCAAAGTGTTGTCAGGCTAATGTGCTACTGCTCATAAATAAGGCATTTATTAGAACACCCAGAGACATATTAGCAGTGACACAGCTTGTCATCCGATGCAAACAGCTATGCCCCACCCTAAAGCACAACAGACGATAAGAGAATCACATAAATGTTGACTATTAAGGACACCTCTCCTTGCTCCTTCAAGTGGGCACCCCAACAGGAAGTCCATAAGATTGTCCCCAGACCCAAAGGTACATCGGACAGGCTGTGACATGTGGGGGGTGGGGGTGGGGAGGAGATCAGAAGAAGAGATCAATTTTTGGTTCCCCATCCAATCGGCG